CTGGCGACGCCGCCGTTTTCCGTGCTCGGCGTGCTCTCGGGCGCCCCCCCTCGAGGCCAGCGGCGCAGAGCAGCTCGGCACGGCGACCGGAGCCATCATCGGGGATGGACAGACCCCCCTTTAGTAAAACGTGGTTTAGTGAAAACGACCTGAGGCCCAAACCTGGCGGGCGCAAGCCTGGAAAACAACGGCCACGGCGCCCTCTCGAGAACCGAAAACGGACAATTCAATGTGTCACTGTTGGGCGAAAGGGGGGGATAGCAAAGGGGGGGTTTAAGCATCAGCTCACGCAGTTGATTTTCCCGGCGCCTGCGGCCATGCATCGAGGGATGGGCCCCTCGGTGGGGCCGAAACCAGCTGCATGCAGCAGATGTCGTAAGCCCCCCTTTCCCTATCTCCACCTTTCGTCTGGCCCGAATTGTGCTTGGCGCAGTATTTCCAGCGTGCCGAATCGCGTTCCGCAGCTACCTCTCCTGCGGGTCTCTGCCTGGAGCTTCGTCGCAGAAGACAGCGATGTGCACGAGCAAGGAAGGGGGCAAAAGAAATCAACATCAAAACATGAAACCCGACAGAATCGGGATGTGCGTCGGATCGGTCTGCATCTGCACGGGGTCGGGATGGAGTCGAATCGGCCGCGCCAAGCTGCACAACAACAGCGCTATGCAACCGTCGCGGCCTCGCCAGATCGCTGGAACGTCGAGATCGACTCGGATCGGGCCGGCCGAAGTCGACATCCTTTCGGATCGATCGGATGAGAAAAGGGGGCATGTGATAGGGGAGGCCGCGGAAACTTACAGCGAGCTGGACATCCCCAGAGGAGCAACACGACGCGGGGGTCCTGGGAGCGGCCGAGGGAAGACGAGAGGGAGGGAGGACGAAGGTGTGGGGCGGGGGGGGCGTCTTGCTCGTTCCGCGTCGGTCCTCGTTCCACCTGAGGGTACCCACGCATCCGATGGCATGATTATTCAAGACGTGGATACCGAATATTTGGGACCCTTTCCCGGGGGCCGGATATTCATCCCTAGGTCCTAGGCCAGGCGAATGTCCGGGGACGCCAAGCATTGCCCCCGCAGTGGCGCGCACAAGATGCGAGGAAATCGAGGGATGGGAGGATATGGTTCAATATGTATCAGGAGTAGCTGGTGCTGCTCACCACCATGAGCAACACATTGGCAACGCGGTCAGCTGGTTCGAATCGAACCATCCTCATCCTTCTGTTCGACCCCCCTCCTCCTCCTTGCCCCCCCCTTCCCCTCTCGCATTGTCATACCGTAGCCCTGCGCCCCTGGTAATCACAGGGCGGGAACAATAAAGCTCGGGTATGGGAAAATCATGTATCGCCCCAGCAACTCGCATGCACGATGATATGTTGGCACGGTATGGCGATGGCCTGCTTGCTCTGGCGGGGCCTCCTTGGATGGGATCAGAGGAGCATGACCTAACGACTAGCACTGCGTAGCGATGCCTTGCTCGTTCCGGCGGGCCCTCCATGGATGAGGTCGGAGGAGCGCGAAATTTGGGAAGTAGCACGGCGGTTCGATGCCCTGCTCGCTCGGAGGGGGCTTCCCTGGAAAAGGATCGGAGGAACACGAAACCTGAGCAATGGTATGGTGCGGTAGTCCCCCGCTCGCTCTGGCGGGGCTTCCCTGGAGAGGGGGGGTAGCGCGAAACCTGACAAGTATTGTGGCAGACTGATCTCCTGCTCGCGCTCGCCCATCGGATGCATGGGTACCCTAAGGTGGAGCGAGGAGCGTAGCGGAACGAGGACGACCCCCCCCCGCCCCACACCTTCGTCCACCCTCCCCTCGTCTTCCCTCGCGGAATCGTCGCCCAACCTGGCGCGCTCGCCAACCCAGCCTTTGGGACCGCTGGGGTGTCCAATCCTGCCCGACCGCGACCTTGCAGGGTCGGAAAGGGAGGGGGGCTCTTGTTCGCTGCCCGCCTCCGCCAACTTCCGCCGCCCTTTCTCGGGCTACCGCCGGCTTCCGCGCCCGCATCCGCCAGTTTCCGCCAGCCCCCCCCCCCTTGCCTTCCGACTCTCTGAACCTCCCTCCCCCTCGTCGCCGCGTCCGTCTGCTTCCGATTGCCATCGGGTCCCCCCTCCCTCCAGGCCCTCTCCCCGCCCCGCCCCCCCCCCCGCCCTCTCGGACCCCTCCCCCTCCCTGTTCCCTCCTGTCTCCTCCGCCCTCTCCTCCTCTTTGGACGCCCGAAATGGGCACGGAAAGAATGGGCACAATGCCCAACAACAAATGTTGTCCCAAACCAATGGCGGCCGCTGTTCGGCAGGCGGCCTTCTGTCTCGAATGGACACAGGCCGCGGCGACACCGACAGCGAGTCCTGTTCAAAATGAATAGGAACAGTTGTTGACATTGTACCCATTTTTTCCGTACCCATTTCGGGCGTCAAGATCCTGTCTCCTCCGCCCTCTCCTCCTCCCATCCTTGCCGTGCCGGCGGGGGTCCTGGAAAGCCTCGAGGCCGGCCTTCTGCCCCCGCTTGGCCTGTCTCTGCATGTTTTGGTCCGCCTTGTACCTCGGCATTGCACTCGTCGCAAAAGCTGTTCGCTGCGGCGGTGGGCCTGCCACGGACCATGGAGCTTCGCCGCGGCGACGCCTCGGACGTGGTCCCCGAGCGCGGCCTCGCCACCATATCGCGCCTGATTGATCTGCCACTCACGCCGCAGCTTGCCCAGGAGATGGCTCGAAGACCTGCTCGCCCGCCTCCTTTTGCGCGCGGTTGTTCGACATTGCCCCGCTCGGTCCCCGTGCGTGCGTGGGGACCCCATGTCCCTGATCCGCGCCTCGGGCGGCCTGCGCATGTCCATTTGCTCCTCTGTGATTTGCATGTCCAAAGCTCGGAGCTCCAGGAGGCCATGCTTCTCTTCCTGCTCTAATCCTGCGGCAAATCATCGAGGCGGGGGCAGTCGCCGCCCAAGGCGCCCCAGACGGGCACGGACGGCGCGTTCTCGGGCCAGCCGTGGGCGCCGTCGACCCGCCCCCTCGCCAGCCTTGGCTCGATGTCTCGGCCAAACTCGACCGATTAGCTCCAGCGCTCCAGGAGAGCGGCGACGTGGAGTTCGCCCCGCTCGGTCGGGTGGACTGCCGGCGCCTGGTTCGCTCGCGGCCCTTGGGGCGGCACACCCGGATTACGCTTCTCGCAGAAGCGGGGGTTAGCCTCTGAAACGCAGCAAAGGCGCTCGCAAGGCAGCCAATTGCTCGGACGCTCGCAAATCGCCGCGGTCTCGGCCGTTACTTTGCACGGCCGACGATGCCCCGGCGGGTCTCCCCCTTGACGTAGCGGATCGCAGCCCTCAGCAGGCTGTGCTCGCGGGCGTCTGGCCCCTGCAAGAAGCTCGTGGCGTCTGAGGCCATGATCGCGTGAACCGCATGCTGAAGCCATGATCGGAGCTCGACGGCCTCCGCCCACTGGTTCGACAGGCAGTCTTCGAACGCGGGGCTCTGGCCGCGCTGCCCGTCTATGAAATCGATCGCCTAGGAAGCGACGAGCTCGTCCGCCCAGGCCCGCGGCTGCTCCCGCGCGCTCTTGGCCTCGAAGATTCTCGCGAGCCCTGCGCGCGAGAACTCGAGCAGGGCGTTGCGCCGCCCCTTGAGCAGTCCGCCGACGGCCCCGCCTGCTCGGAAGTGCCCCGTCTCGCCGCCGCCTCGCTCGCAATGGGGCGTCGCGCCGCCGGGCGCCCTCCTCGACGCTCGTGTCGCTCGCTCGGCAATGGCGCGCGCTTTGGGCCAGGGGCGCGCCGTCCTTCTCGGCGGCGGCGGGCTACCTGCTCGAGACGCGCCAGCCCTCGACGGCGAAAATGTCGAGCAAGGTCATCAATCTACACCTGTCCCCCGCGCTCGAGCAACCCAGGCAGGCCATCGAGATGCCCCCGCGGGCCATCGTTTGCGCCGAAATGAAAATAAATAATTCGCGGGGACGGATGGGGCCGAGCGAAATCGATGGCGACGCGCCGACGCGCAAACGCGACCAAACCCCCAGCCTATCCGCGCGACCGACGTCTGCGCCCGACCGGAAATCATAAATTCCCCCCCTCCGCCCGCGACTGACATCACCACTAGTAATGATGACAGTGATGATAACGGTGCATATATACTCCTTTTCCTTCTCCGCCGCCTCCTCCCCCCCTCCGCCTCGGGGCGCCAAGACGACGCCCCGGGCGCTGGGCGCGTCGTCGTTTCGCCGGGAGGGGGGGAGTCTTGGCGGCTTCCCTGGGCCAGGCTCGGTCCACTCGCCCCTGTGGCCAGGGTGGTTCTCGCAGTGGCTGCCCCACTGTCGCGCGAAAGCTCCCTTGTCCTACTCTCGCTGCGTCTCGCGGGAATTGCGGTTGAGCTTCTGCGCGCGGGCCTCGGCGCCCGCCGCGCGGGCCCCGGTCTCGCGAAGGCACCGTTCCTCCGCGCCCTGGAGCTTGAGCCAGAGCGCGGCTGCGTCGACGACGGCGACGACGACGTTCGCGCCCTTTCTCCGCTCGGCGAAGGCCTCGACGTCGTTCCCGGCGAAAAAAGCGGGGTTCCTCGGAGATGCCCCATCGCCACGAGACGCTGGTTCTTTCGGCGGTGCCCCAGGTGGACGTGCTCTTCTGCGCGCGCGGCGTCTTGTTCTTCTGCTCGGAGCGGCGCCGGCCCTCGCGCCCGGGCGCGGATGGCCCGGGCGGGGCGAACTCGTCGACCCACCCGGCGTCTTCGCGGATCTGATGCTCGATCTTGAAGGTCGCCGGCGGCTCGGTCACCCACTCGAGGATCTCGGCGTCGTGGCTCCTGCGGCCGCAGTCTCTCTGGTGGGACTGCGCGTCCTTCTCGCGCTCCAGCTCGTCCGCCGCGTCAGGGCCGTTTCCCGACCCGCCTCGTGGCCGCGCTCGCGCCCCCGCGTGAATGGGCGTTCGAGGCGGCGCGCGGCGGCCGCGGGCGGGCGGGCCGCGGGGGAACCTCGAGCCCGCGCCCGCGGCCCCCCCCGCCCCCTTTTCTTGCGGGCGCGCCCGCATGCTC